TCTCAAATTTCAAACGCTCATACCCAATCCTCAAGTTCCCAATTATAAACCCTAATCCCCAATTTTGCTTCATTTTTTTTAGGTTTTTTTGACCTTGATCTATAATCAGCAGAACTTTGGTCAGCTAGATTTGGCTCCACCTCTGACGTCCCAAGTTCAGATTCTTGGGACTCTCTCTTTGTTTTTCTTGGTTGATGTTGATTGTACATTTTATAGTTGGATCCATTGCTATCGATGAAACTTTTGAATACAGAAACAAATTCTTCAACCATATCAAGAGAGTCGCCTTCCTTCAAATATATCGAATTAAGAGCTAAAGACTAGACATGAGATAACATTTGATTGATAGGTGCCTTACCTTAATTAGATCAATAAAGTTGTTATGAACTTGTTTTGGTGTTTGAAGACCTGCACTGTCTTATGTCTTGTGCTCTCCACCAGTTTCTTCATATGCGAAATTTCTCGCATATAAGATGGCCAGCAACCTTAACCATTCATTTCGCTAATGGAACATTACTAGAAATTTTTTGGGATTCTACAGTTCAAAGGAGGAGGAAAGAAAAAAAAACTGAAATGAATAGGAGAGAGAAAGAAATTTTTAGTATTAGTGAATAAGGGTTAAATTGTATTTTCCTAATTTATTTTTAGGTTTATTATTTGTTTAATTATTTCAAATACATCAGATTTTTTTCATTAAAACCTAATTTGGATCATCATGACACATGACAAACTATTATTGGCTAGAACCTACTATGTATGCTTGCGTGGTATATTAGAATCGAAACATTAACATAAAAGTGTAACTCTTTAATTGAAAAGAAAAAAACTTAGAGCTTCAATCAAACAAATTCGAATTGTACGGAGTATCTATATGCATAAAACTATTAAAATTTTAAAAATAGATAAAAATTCAAAATATTATATAAAAATAAATTAAATTAGTTACCTAAAAGTATACTCATGCCCATTTTTAATCTAAAGGCGAAGTTTTTGTTCTTCGAATCTCAAGTCATTTACATGAAAATTGATAAATTAAATTTTTAACCTTTTTTTTTTTTAAATTGGAGCCTTAATAAAACAACCCTTAGCAATGTAGTTAAGCATTCATAGACTCATGAGGTAGCTCGGACCACTTAGGCTATGTTTGTTTGGGAGAAAACAAGTTCTAGAAACTTTTTTTTCGGTGTTTGTTTCATGTTTAGGAAAAAAGTTAACGAAAAATGATTTTCATTCAATGAAAAATGATAGAGTATTTTTGAAAAAATGATATAGTATTTTTGAAAAAATGTTTTTCGAGTTAAAAAAAAGAAAAATATTTTTCTTCTCATGAGTACATTTCGCTCTCTCGTTACTTAACTCTCTCTTTATATATTTTAACGAGTTTTTTCTATCTTCTTTTTATTTAAAATACGTCAAACTAATTTTTAATTATTCCTTATCAATTATTTAATTATTTTTTCTCTATTTCTACTCATATTTGATTTTTTTATTTATAAATACATTAAATATTCTTAAAAACCATTTTTACACCTAAAAATTATTTTTATAATAAATATTTTAATAATTTATCTCTATTTTTTTTACTATTATCTCAAACGTCACCTAAACTATACTTAAATGATTGGAAATGATTATTGCAAAGCTGTAATTTTTTGTAAAAAAAATTGACATGAATTGATTCATTAATAAATACATTATTTTCTCAACACTATTCATTTTTAACTAAATCAATAATTTGTAATTTTTTTCAGTTGTAAAATATTGTAGGTAATTGTGATGAATAATTGGTTACAAATTATTTCAACATTAATCTTTTGAAACCAAATGAATAATTACCTACAAATGATAACTAATAATTTATAAAACTATTTTTAGACTAAATTATCGATTAATTTCCAAAAAAAAAAAAAAAGAATTCTTAATTGAGTTACCAAAATAACAATGCTAGGATTACTTAGAAATATATATATTTTTTTACTAAATGTGAATATTGACTTTATTTTGTCCTCGGTAATTTTGATGAATTAGTTAAAAAGTATATTTTATTTTTTGAATTAACATTTTAGAGTCGGTATATGAAAATTTATTAAATTTTTCTAAATGTACCTTATATTGTGAAATTGTGAATATGTCTTTTTGAAGTTTTCTCAAAACTTGTTGATGTAACAATTATATACTATTTTTGTATTTTAATTTATTGTATCAAACAAACGTCTGGAATATATTTTTGAGCGAGTGTTTTTATGTAATTGCCAAACGACGAGAAAATATTTTTTTGAAAAATAATTTTTTGAAAAATAGCTTTTTCAAGAATTGATTTTCTTATGAAAGTTATTTTCTACCAAACAAACGAGCCTTAAATGCACTTGCCACATTACTAAGACTCTAAAAGACATTAGGTTCTAATTATTCATAATTCTATTCACCTCTTTTTTATTTATTTTTTATGTATATATATGTATATATATATATTTTTTGTTATTTAAGTATAAGAAAGTGCTTGCGATCCTGTGGTTAAGATAATTGCCTCTCAAATAATACACTCGGGGTGTGACTTTTGGCGAACGCATTTTTGTAATAGATTGATGCTTTGATTTTTTTTTTTTTCACTCTTAGGTTTTTCTTTCTTTTTCTTTTTTTTTTTTTTTTTTGCAATTTCATTCTTATTTTTTTCCCTTAGTTTTTTTTTTTTGTAATTTTTCAAATTATTTCATTTTGATCTCTAAAATTTTAAAATAAAAATTTTGATCCTTATTTGATGCACTACATGTCTTTTTTTTTCCTTTGGTTTTCTTCCTTTGCTTTTTTTTTTTCATCAATTTATGTTCTCTTTTTATTTAATAAGGTGTTTTAATTTTTAAAAATCAATTGTTATTTTTTTCACACAAACTGATTATTACATAATATATATAGATCAAATGTATATCCTTTAAAGATCACCCCTCACAATGTACTATTCGCTGCTTTTTTTTTTTTTTTTTTACCCTCACAATGTACTATTCACTTTTACGTTTTTTTTTTTTAATTTTCACTCTTACTTTTTTTCCTTTTTTTCTTAGGTTTTTATATACATATATATAATTTTCAAATTATTTTGTTTTTATTTTTGTTTTTAAATTTTCACTCTCGAGTTTTTTTTTTTTTTTGTGATTTTCAATTTATTTTGTTTTGATCCCTAAGATTTTAAAATAAAAATTTTAATCCCTATATGATGCACTACATGCATTTTTTTTCTTTACTTTTTTATCAATTTATGTTGTTTTATTTATTTATTTAATTGGGTATTAAAATTTTTAAAAATCAATCGCTATTTTTTCACATAAACGGACGATTATATAATATATATAGATCATATATATATACTTTTTTAAAAAAAATCTTCTCATCAACATTAAATAAGAATAAACTATTATTTTTTCATTGGTTAATTTTTATGTAAATCTATACTATAACTTCACTTTTTTAATATATTCTTATAAAATAATATATTTTAAAAATATTTCTTTTTTATGGCAACATTATTCTCCTCCTCATAATGTACTATTCACTCTTTTTTCTCCCCCTCATAATGTACTATTCACTCCTTTTTCCCCCTCATATACTATTCACTCTTGGGTTTGCTTTTTTTGTTTTTTTTTCACTCTTACTTTTTTTCTCGGGTTTTTTTTTTTGGTAATTTTCAAATTATTTCGTTTTGATCCTTGAAATTTTACAATAAAAATTTTAATCCCTAGTTGATGCACTATATGCCTTTTCTTTTTTGTTTTCTTTGGTTTTTTTTTTTTTTTTTGATTTTTTCTCATCAATTTATGTTTTTTATTATTTAATTGGATGTTAAAATTTTTTAAAATCAATCGTTATTTTTTTCCACACAAACTGACCATTATATAATATGTATAGATTAAATGTATGTATTTTAAAAAAATAATCTTCTCATCGGCATTAAATAAGAATAAAATTTTATTTTTTCATTGATTGATTTTTATGCAAGTTTATACATTAATTGTAACTTTATTTTTTGGATATATTCTTATAAAACAACATATTTTTAAAGTATTATTTTTAAATTCTTAATTAATATTTCAGATTTAAATTATATACTACAAGTTTCTATTTAAGAATCCATAAATAAAGAAAAATAATTTTTTTAAAGCAAAAATCATATGAAAAACACATAAAAAAATAATAATTAAATAAAAAATGAATGAAAGAATTATAAAATTTTGAAATGATTTTGTTCTATCTACATAGTCTTCGTTTGAATAATTTCAAAAATTAATCTTTTCATCAGCATTAAATAATAATTTTTTTTTCATTTGTTAATTTTTATAAAATTCTTTTTATTAATTATAACTTTATTTTCTGAAAAAAAAATATTATGAAAAAAATATTTTTAATATTTTTTTATTTTTAATTAATATTTTAGTTAAAATTAATCTATTAAAAAGAATGATTTATGTTTTTTTAAGCATAAAAACATTTAAAAAAATTAATTAAATAAAAAATTATAATTAAAAAATTTTAAAATTATTTTGTTCTGCTAGACCCGTATTGTAGCGCAACAGACTAATATAGTAGCAAAGAAAAAAAAATCAGAAAGAAAACTAATCAGCCACGTGGGATATACACACATGCTCTGATACATGTCCGCCGTGGGTGAGTTTGAATCCGGTAATACATTAGTAAAATGTATAAATTAAAGGTGAAGGATACTAAATTGAAACCAGAAATTAAGAAATAAGATCGTTTTATTACAAAGACTCCAAATTAACAAGACTCAAGCAAACAACAAATTATTTAAGATCAACTCACAAAAAGACTCGTTATAACAAAAAGAAAATGACAAAGACACTAAAAATTAAAAGAGTACAGTCCAATATTTAACTCAAAACAGCAACTCGCATCCCTCACATCAATTTCCTTGATCTCCACTAATACTTCTTTAAATATCGCCATTCTTTTCATCAAAGAAGGCAGAGAGATCATCGCATGCAAGTCTTTTAAGAAATCTCAACTTGATGCCCAAATTGCTCAGCCCTGTCTTTCATTTCCCTTGCCTTACCAGCCAACTTCATGCGTGCCTGTTCCAGCGTATCTGCCCCTGGAGGATGCCTCCCAGTAACATACCTTCAAAATATTACGTAATGACACATTTTTTATTAATAAAATAGCCATAATAATAATAATAATAATAATAATAATAATAATAATAATAATATACATACCTATAGATCCATGACATGACAGTAATTCCTGCCACGCCAAAGCCACCAGAGGCCAAGAATCCCATAAGCAAGAGAGAAACTGTTATCACTGCAGGAACAATAACTGGACTGAATATGACCAGTAATGGCGTGGCTATGGTCAACAGAATGACTGTGATAGTGAGGGTCAGACCGGAGAGAACCAAGAGAGACCCACCAGCAGTGACAGCAGTAGTCGCCTTGACTACTTGGTGGGACCTCGGTTGTTTCCCTAGTAGCTGTGATTGTTGACGATCAGCCATTGATGCAGGATCCAACTATGTCCACTTCAAACAGTATTTTAAGAGATTACTTTGATGGTAAATAGCTATGAACTTCGTGATTATGTTCTGTGTGAGAGAGGGTGGAGTTATATAGAGAGAAGGCTATTAAGGTGGGTCCGAAAGAGGTAGGCACGTCCCAGAGAGAGATGAGGCACGTGTTGAGGACATCGTCATGCAAAGGGTTGCATGCAACCCCAATGGTTTCGGTTTAGGACACGTTGGTTTTTGTTTTATGGAGGTTGTTTCAAGAAACGAAATGAAAAATTGGAAATGAAAAGCAAACAAAAAGACAGAAAGCTTTCGGTTTAGGACACGTCGGTTTTTGTTTTTTGGAGGTTGCTTCAAGAAATGAAATGGAAAATTGGAAATGAAAATCAAACAAAAAGACAGACACCTTTGGGAGGACTGTAGGGATCCAAGAGCAAACATATAATAATTATCCACCGTGCTTGAGCATAGCTGCAAGAATCTTATTGAATGCAGTTTTTCAAATTTACATTGGATGTTTTTGTCCGACTTTCTGAATCAGTATACACTATCAGAAAATAAGCAGTTAGTCATAAATTTTAGCGATGGATTTTAATCTTTCATTAAATAGTGATTAAATAACGACAAATTTACGAGGAGATTAAAAATTCACAATTTAACGACTACACAACCACGAACATGTACTTTTGTCGCAAATTATCACGGCAAAAAAATGCGCAACAATCAATGACGGAATTGCCATGGAATTCTGTCGTTGATTTAGCAATGGCCACTAAATTCCGTTGCTATATTCATAATTGAAAAAAGCTATGTAATCAATCCATCGCAACCCGTCATTGATCATAATCCTTCGCTAAATTGAAAGTTGTTGGAGAATTAACTTAACAAAACTATCAATGGATTTAAATTCAAATTAGCAACGGATTACTGAATTCATAGTCATTTGCACAAATTTCTCAATCTCTTTAGAGAATTCGACACTTGTTTGAAATTCAAATTAGCTATGAAAAAACATTTGTTGCTACTCATTAAATCCTATAAGGCTACTGCTTCTCATCTTCTTTCTTATTTCTCCCAATTCCCTCTCCCCACCTCCCCTCGCTACTGCCAACCCTAACTAGCCCCAAATCGCCCTCCCCCTCCATGTCGACACACACCACCCACTCCCTCCCTCCCTCCCTAGCCCACTCAATCAGACGAGGCGTTTCTTTCTCTCCAAAGTCTATCGATAGGCGGTCTCTCCTCTCCCTTCTTGATCTCTTTGGTAATTTTTCTCTTTCTATATCTTTCGTATTTTTTTAATTACATTAATCTAATTAGTTATTAGGTTAATTTTTTTAATTGTTAGTTGGTTAATTGTTTGTTTAATTTTGTTATTTATCAGTTTATTTTTTTAATTATTAGTTGAATATTGTTAATTGTTAGTGTTAGGTTAAATTTTAATTTATGTTAATTTTTATGTTAATTATTATTTTAAATTTTTTATTTTTTTATTTATTTTTGTTAATTATTAGATTAATTTTGTTAAGTGTTAGGTTAAATTTTATTTATGTAATTTTTTTTATTTAATTTAGATAAAGTTGATTAATTGTTCGGTTATTTATTATTAAGTTAGGTTAAAATTTAGTTATTTAATTGTTAATTTTTATGTTAAATTTTAAATTTTTTTATTTATTTTTGTTAATTATTAGATTAATTTTGTTAAGTGTTAGGTTAAATTTTATTTATGTAATTGTTTTTATTTAATTTAGATAAAGTTGATTAATTGTTCGGTTATTTATTATTAAGTTAGGTTAAAATTTAGTTATTTAATTGTTAATTTTATTTTAAAATTTTAATTTTTTTTTTAATTATTAGCTAAATTTTGTTAATTGTTAGTGTTAGGTTCAATTTTAATTATGTAATTTTTAGGTAATTTAAATTGGTTGATTAATTATTAAGTTATTTTTTTTATTAATTGGTTGGTTAAAATTTTTTAAATTTATTTTTAATTTTTTATGTTTTTTTAGTTGTTAGGTTAATATTTTTAATTTGTTTGTTGTTATTTTTAAATTTCAATAATATTTAAATTCAAATTAATGTAATTAGTTAGGATTAATTTAATTTAATTAATTTGATTTATGGTTAGTTCAAATATAAATGCTAGAAGTAATTAATTATTATAACTTAATTATTAAAAAAGAAGGAAGACAACATAATGATTAACATTCAATCAAACAAAGAATCTGTCGTTTTTCTTTCTTTCAATTTATTTAATTTTTAAGAAATAAATATGAAACAAAAATATATATATTTTTTAACAAAGTAAAGTATAAACCAAAATTATAGCTCCATGTGAACACAATCAACTAAACATAAACAATCCGTCGTTTTTTTTCTTTCAATTTTTTTTCGTCAACTAAGATTGAATTGTTCATTCACATTTTCCGATAAATAAAAAAATTGAAATCGTTCTATAATCAGAATGTCATAATTAAAGATTTAATTAAAAAAAACCTAATTTTGATATAAAAATATTAACCCAATTGAAATAAAGTTAAAATTTAATAAACGCTTGATTTAAGATTAATTAAATTATGTTTAGTTGAATTTATTATTAAATTAATTGGAAAAATTTAATAAACATAAACGTTTTTATCTTTGATGTAGATAACTTTTCATGAATTAAAAGAATTTTTTAAATACAATTTATTTGATTTAAAATATTTTTTATTAAGTATAATATTATTTTTAGAGGATTCTTTTATTACAACAAATAAAATTTAATGAAAGTATTTAATTGGTATAATAAAAAAAGACAAGCATAAAAAATATAAAAAAATTCAGAGTTTATGAACTCGCTTGAAATAAACTAGAAATAGGTGTACTAATAGCAAGTTAGGGTACAACATGTAAAAAAAAATAAATGAAACTACGCAATCAATCATTCAATATCATAAGGTTCAATATTGAAGAATAAAAAGCAAGAGAAAGAAGACGTAATCATTCTTTAGACAATCAATTAAATATAAAGTCAAATTCTTAAAACAAAATTCCTAATAAGTATCTTTAATTACACAATCAATATATATGCTTAATTTTTATTTAAAATTCATAAGAATGTTGATAAATAATTATTTGCATGTGCTATGTAATTTATATAGTAATTATAAAAATGAGATCCGATCGGTAATGGATGAATGTTACCTTAATTGATGGGTTGTTAAATGATGACTTTGTCAAAAGGGTTGAACAATTTGTAGCTTTTGTTGTTGAGCATCCCGAATGTATGGATGGAACCAAAATTAGGTGTCCTTGTAATCACAATAAATGTAAGAACAGAAATTATGAGGAGGTTAAAATGATAAAATATGATTTGTATCATAAGGATTTTATATTGGGATATTATGATTGGATACATTATGAAGAATTTGAGTATTACATGTTATCTCGTTGATTCTAAGAGTCATTATATTTTTGAAAATTATTATGTAGGCAAAAGTAGTACTAGTGAACCCCAAAACCATATCAAACTATGGTAATAGATATAGTCGGTCCATCATTCGATCCGTCAAGCATGGAGGAGGTTTCAAATCCTAGTACTCAACACTTTTATGATATGTTGAATGCATCTTGTATAGAGATTTGGCTTGGTTGTGATGAGCACTCGCAATTGTTAGCGAGTTGTTCGAATGCTGAATCTAAAAGTGGAATATCATTTTTTTGAAAAATGTTTTAACCAATTGTGTGAGCTAATGAAGGAGTTGATGCAGTCGATAACTGTATGACTAAAAACTTTTACGAAACAAGGAAACTAACTAAGGGGATGAGTGTACCAATGGAAAAAATTCATTATTGTCGAACGGTTGCATGATATAATGGAAGAAAAATAGTGGATTAGATGAATGCAAGTTCTATCAATATCCTCGATATCAAAGTTCCTATCGGGGATCGATAAGAGAAAAACTTGTTTCAATTAAAAAAATATACTACTTTTCGCTAGCCTCGCATTTGCGGCGATTGTATACTTCGAATGCCACGATTGAGCATATGACATGGCATGCCAAACATAAGGTAGATGATGTATGAGTAATACATCATCCCTTAGATTCTATTGCATGGTAAAGTTTCAATCGGATTAATGTTTCTTTTATAACTAAAAGAAAGAATGTCGGATTAGGAGTTTGCAACGATGTGTTTCAACTATTCGATCAATCGGATGCGTAATATTCTTCGTGACCGGTAATTGTGACTCCTTATAATTTACCACTTTGGATATTTATGAAGGAGGAATTTATGTTCCTAACATTGATTGTTTTAAGTCCAATAAATTCAAAGTATAAGTTAGATGTTTACTTGCGGTCTTTCATAACCGATCTTATTCGGTTATGGAATGTATGTGTGGTGACCTACAATGTCTATTGTAAGTAGAATTTTTATTGAGAGCTATAGTTATATGGATTATCGGTGACTTTCTCTTTATTCGATGTCGCTTGTTTAGAGTATCGTAGAAAAATAAGCTTGTCCTTACCATATTGAAAATTTAGATGCTTTCTCCCTTCTTAATGGAAGGAATACCTCATGGTTTGACAATCATCAAAAAAAATTTCCTCATGATCATCCATATAGAAGAAATAAGAAAGAATTCACGATAAAAAATGGTTGCTAGATCCGGCCCTCCTCCAATATGATGCTGGAGTTAAGATATTACATTTGGTGGAACAATGAGGGTTATTGAAGATAATAGAAGATGGTGCAAATGATCATAATAATAGAATCTTTCGGATGTATGCATGGAGAAAATGAAGTATTTTTTAGGATTTGCCTTATTAGAGTACGAATCTTTTTTGACATAATTTAGATGTCATGCATATTGAGAAAAATGTATTTGATAATGTTTTTAACATAATTATAAATGTTTCGAGTAGGACCAAAGACAATGCCAACTCTAGAAAAGACTTAAAACTTTTTTGTAAAACGTTAGAATTAGAAAATGATGATGCATTTAGGAA